CAAAAAAAAAAATTTCCGTACGGGACTCGCCGATTCACTGTTCGGACTCGCCGATTACGTACAATGAATCGGCGATTCACTGTACAAAATCGTCCGGTTCTCTCTAGAACCGGACGATTTCCGATTTTTTAGGCGATCCGGTCCCCTTTTCACGATTTCCGAGTCGAACCGGACGAATCCGGTTCGACTCAGCGTTTTTTAAAACACTGGGCTCAAGGCATAAGTGATTAGAATAGTGGATGCCACAATATGACGTCTTAAGTTTCATTCTCACCCCATCCCAAATTAACCTTCAAAAAAAGAAAAAAAAGGCTCATGTATCTCAATTAAAAAGGACAGATCAACTACTTGTTAGAATGAGACCGAACGACAATAAATGATACTTTCAAGTGGTTGGCTCTTAACACTAACCACTTGGGGGTGGATCCCTTGTGGAAGAAATAAAAATAAAGAATTAGTTTACAAGTCTAGTTTCTAAATTTCAGGCAGTTGCCACTGCTCAAGTAGGCTTCCTGCTGTCTCTCAAATTGGGTGGTTGCAACGTAAATCGGAGACTGTCTTATGTCTCTATTGTGATGTCTATGCAGTTGTGTCTTCAATTTATAGTGAACTGGTTTTTACAGGCAATTGTGAAAATGGGTACTTTTCAATAGTCATTATCGAGCAGGACAATATCTAAATTTTTCAAAGATCATGATAAATGGGGTTTTATCGTTTATGCTCACGGCCAAAATGGTGGCTATCATTGTATTCACATAAATTGATGCATTCATCACCATATTGAGTTTTATGGCATAGAGAACCGCTTTCCAAACAAAGCTTTTGTGTATATTGCATAAGCAATAAGAATGGCCTCCACAATTGTATTGATTTATCGTCTTAAAACTTTATGGTCTTAAAACTTTCATCTAAGAACCAAATTTCAGATAAATATAATTTTTAAATAAAAATAAAAATTATAAAATAAAATTCATTTGTAGCAGTTAGATGAAACTGAGTTCAATCTAAACCATTGTGCACCCTTCAAGCGTCCATATCATGCGGACAATATGTCGTCCCATTAGCTCAATCAAAAGAGATTTAGTACGCTACCTTAAAGCTGAATTATCAACAGAGGCTTGGAAAAGGTTACTTTGGGGAGAAACCTAACATGTGATTCTGGGATTTGGCTTAAGAACATCAGATTAGGATTTTCCACATGCTTTGCATTAGGGAACCTCCCCTAAAATACACCAAACTCATAGGGATTAGGATACTCCCCTTCCTTTGGAGAGTGACACTATGACTTTATCCCCTTTATAAAGTTAACCCCTATAGTATGCTCCTCCGAAGCCATACTGTGCATCAACTCCGTCAGGCAGAAGAGCTCCTTAGGTATTTTTTTATTTGAATTTTGGAATCCACTTAATAATCACTAGATGATTCACTTCCAAAAAAAAAAAAAGGATTTTTCTGTGTTTTTCAAAATAGATGTAGCCCTCCAAGACTTAGATGGTCCCTATTCAATATTGGGATGTTATTTTTTCAGCAGTGGAATGCGGCAATTTGCTTTATTTATTTATTATTTGAGGTTAGTCAATAAGTTCAAGGGGTTATATGCCCAAAGTTTGGGGTTCTGGATACTAGTTTGGGTTTTACCTGAGGGAGCAAATAGATAATATCCCATGGGGGAGAAGCAAATCTTTTCACTTTATAGAATCCTATGGGGATCTTTTCATTGACTCTAACAACCAACTTGAAAGAAATTGGGGAAGTAATTTTGAAACTATTTGTTTTCCTTGATCCTTCAAAATGGTAATGTGAAGTTTATGGAAACAACAATGTCAATGTGTCACAGACAGAGCACTTACACATAATTGAAGATCCCCCAATCTATATTAATTCATGGATCACTGTTTTTTTAACCACCATTATTCATGAATCACTTGACCATTCTAAAATTATCCAAAGGCCTCAACCTTGTTCTCATTCCCTAATTCCAGTTAATTATTGTTTTAGTTCCTTAGAAATATAATGACCGATAATAAATACTTTCCCTCACTGTTGAAGGTACATGCACCATGGTAGCATCCTCACAGTCCCTTTCCCACAACTGACAGTTTCCCATGATGTACATTAGCCTAGGCACAGTTAATCTTCACCATCCATTGCCAGGAATTATGCTGGACACCCCGTGTGGTGTACCATATACCACACTAACGGTGTATGCTGTACTTTCCCTATTATCTAAAAGAAGCAAATTGATTTTGCAGAAAATTTATCAAAATACATGACTTATCAACTATTTAACATTTCACCCATTTTGAACTATTCCTACTCATGATAATTAATAGGTTTTACTGCTTAAGTGTATTTTGGTAAATTTCTCTATTTGTATCGCAGTGTGCAGCATGTACCTTAACTTAAACAATCTGCATGGTTATAAAACATAGCCTCAACATGGCACAAACCATCGCGGAAGTACACACCTTCTGCAGTGTGGCCCCACCATTCACATGCCTTCGCATAGCAAACAGAGCATTTCTCATCAAAATAAATCAACTATTGAACTTTTAACTTACCACAGCATTTTTACAAAGAATTCCAACTTCCATTGTGAAGCATAATGTATTTGTTGGGAGCTCCCACCTCTTCCATTAGAGGCTAACAACTCACCTTCTCTCTCTATTCCCGCATCATAGTGAAAGAAACTGTTACAAGGCACATAAACATCCTCTAATATCTGGCATGTCAATCCCCACACAGTCTCATATATACATTCTCTCTCGGGGTGCGCTTGATCTCCCATGACAAAAGCATGGGTCTTATGCTTCAACTCAATCCAACTACAACCTGGATCCTTTTTCAACCCCATGTCATTCATCGCCTTTCGAATTCTAGCTACCTCATCCCACTCCTCAAAACGTGCATAAATCCCCGATAACATCACATATGCTGCTATGTCCAAGGGATCTAACCTCAGTATACATTCAGCTGCGTGTCTTCCTAATTCCAGATCTCTATCATGGATTTTACAGGCAGCTAATAGGATTCTCCATATGACCTTATCAGGTTCGAAAGGCATGTTTTGTATGAGCTCATAGGCCATTTCAGTCTCTCCGGCTCGACCGAGAAGGTCAATAACGCAAGCATAGTGTTCAGCCCTCGGAGCCATGCGATGCTTGCTAGCCATCGAATTGAAGTAATGAAGGCCTTCACTCACTAGACCCACTCGACCGCAAGCCGATAAAACTGCAATGAAAGTCACATCATTGGGCCTCATATTAGCATCCTCCATGTCTTTAAACAAATTCAATGCCTCCTCTCCGAAACCATGGTGCGCATAGGCCATAAGCATTGTGTTCCAAGACACCAAGCTTTTTGAAGTCAAGCTATCGAAAACAGTCCATGCTTTCACTAATTGTCCACATTTAGAGTACATATCGATTAGAGAAGTTGAGACAAAAGGGTCAAGGTCGAACCTTGGTTTTATTATACGGGAATGGACTTGTTTTCCCCACTCTGGAGCGGGGAGATCACCACAGACACTCAGAACACAAGAATACGTATATAAATTAGGGTATATACCTTCATTTAACATCCTAACTAAAAGTTTTATCGCGTCTTTACAGTAGCCCATCTGAGCATAACCCGTAATAAGTACATTCCAAGATACAACATTTCGTTCCACTATTTCTTGAAACACTTTTGCCGATTCTTGCAAAGACCCACATTTTGCATACATTTCTATGGCTGCATTACCCACAAAACCAGCTACTCTAAAACCCAATTTGAAAGCGACTGAGTGAATTTGAGCCCCAGTCATAACCAAGAGATTACTAGCGCAAGCAACAAATGCAGAACATAGAGTAAACTCATTGGGTTTTAAACCTGAAAGCTGCAATTTCTTGAAGAGATCAATGGCAACCTCACCTTGCCCTTGCTGTGCATACCCAGCAATAAGAGCAGTCCATGATGCTAAGCTAGGCTCGTACATTTCCGAGAAAGCACGATGACCCAACCCCAATTCCCCACATTTTACATACATATCGATAAGCCCCGTGCCCACAAACCCATCCATAAGAAGGCCACATTTCACACAAGAGACATGGATTTGTTGGCCAAGACTAAGCTCCTCTAGGCCAGCACACGAGCCTAAAATAGTTGCTGATGTAAACTCGTTCACCTTTATACCAGCTTCTTGAGACTTAGAAAAAAATCTAAGAGCCTCCATGTGTTCTCCACTCTGGCAAAATCCAGCAATGATAGAAGTCCAAGAAATGAAGTTCGGTTGAGGTATTTCATCAAATAATCTACTGGAATACTCAATCAACCCACATTTAGCATACAAATTTACTAAAGAATTGCTAAGAAATGTATTAAATCCATTATCAGATTTCAAAATCCTTGCATGGGTTTCTTTCCCATAATTTAAAGCTTCTAGTTGAGCACAGGCAGAGAGGAGGCCTACGTATGTGAAATCGTTAGGATAAAATCCTTCAAAAACCATATTCTGAAAGAGTTCCAGGGCTTCGTCGGGGAGCCCATGTTGCGAATATCCAGAAATGATGCCTGTCCATGAGATTAAATTCCTTTCAGCCATTTGATCAAACACACTATGTGCATCATTCAAGCACCCGCATCTCACATACATGCTCATGAGATGGTTGTTAATATAAACATTTGCAGGGAAGCCCGATGTAATGAGATTGGCGTGGAGCATTTTGCCCTTGGAGAGAGATTGGGCATGACCAAGGGTGCGGATGAGGCTAGAGAGAAGCATGAGAAGTGGGTTAGATTTGTAGTTATTCGTAGAGAGAGATTAAACCCATCTTGACAGAGAATTGGAATGAAGGAATTGTGGGTTTGTGAATGAGGAGGAGGAATTTCCATTGGTGTGATTTGGAGAGAAGGAAGCGAAGACAGAGGAGTTACCTTGCATAATGTGTGGGTACAAACGGTTCAGCAATTTGTGTTTTCCCTCCGAAATTGATGTTCTAATCTCTCTCTCTCTCTCTCTCTCTGTGTTTGGTTAGGTAACAGCGGGAATCGAACCTGGTAAGTTGCGGGGGAATGGTCTCTCTCCTTTTTGAATCTCGTTTTTGTTCAGGATGAAAGTTTTTATAGGGACTAGGCTTTATGGGAACAAAACATCAAAAATCTCTACGGTGGATCTAAATCAATTTTCATCATCGATAATAAAATTTGAAACTTAAAAAATGGTACAGATCTTTCGGATAAGTACTTAATTTTAGGGTGAAATAGACGGTTTTGATAATTTACTATATCATACACTATTTTTAGAGCTTAAAATCCTATACGTTTATGAAGAAATGATCGATGAAAAGGTTTTCTAATACTCAAATTATTATTATTATTTTGTTATGAATTATGAGGTGAGGCTTTACTTATTTTGATAGGGTTGTTGCCCAATCAAACCATTTTCCTTTTGTTCAATATCAATATTATTGGGGTTGGAATGGCACCCTGTTGCAGCCAAACCTATTTTACTATAGTGTTTGATAGATGTAAAAACTTAAAAAAATATATAAATAATAATTGAAAAAATATTAAAAATATTTTATATTTTTTGACTTGTCAAAATTGGTCGGTTGGACTATTTAAACATTAATTTTGACCGGTTTTCAATCAATCTTGTAATTTTGACCGGTTTTCAATCAATCTTGGCTTTTACTTTCAATCAACTTTTTCAAATATTTTAAGAGCTAGTGAGGTGGTATCAGTGACAATAAAACCACAATGCAGTGATTAGGGTGTGTGAATGCCACCACCACGACCATAGCCCCCTTTTGCATTTGTCATGTAGGTTGCAAGTAGCATTATCTCAAATGTTAATGCGTTAATACAAAAGATGCTGCAAAAAAAGGTTTATTAAGGCACTAATCTTATATTGTACACAAACATTGGAACATGTTATTTTTATTATAGAAAACCTATTGATTATCTCAACCTCGATATGTATAAATATTAGAAATTAAGTAATTCAAAGCCTAATAATAATACATCTAGCAATTTATTATCTAGAATATCCCTTTTCAAAAAAATTAAATGTTTATAGATCTTCTCGATTTGAACTGTATGGAGCTTCGAAGTTATAAAAATTGACCAACTTTGTTGCCTTTTTAGATTGTTCCTTTTGTCATTCTTTTTGTGGAATACCTAACACTTATAAAACACTAGGGTTGCCAATGGGTGCACTATTTCCAAGATGCACTATTTCCAAAAATGTGAAATCCATTTTTTTTAATGTCCATGCATCTTAATGTCGAGAAGTACAATTTGAAGATATTTAGGTGTGAAACAACCTCTTAAATTTTTGAGGTAGGCTCTTATTTGATTGTTTAGAGCGTCAGCTCTATATAAACATTTTCTTAAAAAAATTTCTCCAAAAAGAGGACGAAATACCAGAGATGCTGTTTAACACAAATGAGTCAGCCTCAGCCTCGGGTATGTCATACGCATATTGTTGTATTTGTTATAATCTATATATTTTCCCTAGAGTTTCATATGAGCCTTGATAATATGAGTTGTATTGATAGGCAGGTGATCTGGGGGCCCATATTTTTTGTCTTGGACATGAGTATCTAAGATCATTCCCTACCTACATTGTGGGTCAAGATAAACTAGTCTTAGCTGGTGATCATTTCCTTGAGTTGGGTTATAGGGGAAATGATTCCATGGACAGTTGTATGGAGCTTCTCATGTGCCAACATATCATGTAGGGGTGGCAGCGGCCCGGACCAGGGCAGGCCCAACCTGACCGGAAATTATCGTACACGAACCCAATTGGATTTGGACCCAACTCGACTCTATTGGACCTGACCCAAAAATAAAAAATATGTATACTTAAATATATATGAAGGGTGCCGTTTGTAAAGAGCCGAGGTTGTAAATAATCAAAATAAAGCACTCCTTTAAATATTTCCAAGAAATGTGGTTTCAATACTGAAAATCTTTGTAATAGTTTTAAAATATATTTTCATCTCTAATTATGAAACTTAAAACTTAAAAAACAGTGCAGATCAAGCAGATATATAAAAACTTGAAATTTTTGAAAATTGACGGCCCAAAAATGCATTACAAGATGCACTATTTCCAAAACTTGGAATCCATTTTTTTCTCATGTCCATGCATCTTGATGTCGAGATGATAAATTTGAGCATCAAAACAACGTCTTCTAGTGAAATTTATGAGGCGCGTTTTAATTTAATTGTTTAGAGCCTCGCACTTATATAAATTTTTTCTATATTTAAATGTTAAGTTAAATATATATATGTATTATTTAAATATTATAACTAAATATATATTGTTATATTTATTTAAATATTAATTAAATATCATACAAATATTATTTATTAAATATTATTTATATAATAACACTATACGGTTCGGGACATGGACCCGGACCCGACCCACAGGGTCCAATTCTTGAACCCATGTTGGGTACAGTCGTCGGGTCCAGGTCCAGGTCCATTGCCACCCCTAATATCATGACCATCATTCATTTGGACCAATAGAAAATTCACGGACTATGCCATAGTTGAACCGGACAAAGAGGTTCGCGATCCTTGGCCAAAAAAACCAAAATCGCATGTATCCCGATTCTATAGCAATTTTCTTTTTAATTTTTTGTTAAATACGACCCAGTTTGAGTTGGGAATCTGTTGATTCGATCTAGGACAATCTAAATCGTCTGATTTTGGAATTATTGCTTTCAGATGGTCTAATCAAATAATGTGGGCTTAATCTACTTCTTGAATGCCTCTATCGACTCCTCCTTTGTTGCTTGAATGGCACATGATCATTTCTTGTTTCAAACTAGACATATAGAGGGGTAAGAAAGCATAATTTGTCTTTTGGATGAACTTAAATCGTTATAAACGTTACCTCTTGACCTCCCTTTTGCAAACAAAATGTAAGACCTCAAGTACCAATTGAAAACCAAAATGAGAGAGAACTTAAGTGGGCTAGTCTTATGTGGCATGGACCTAGTACAGTATCGGTTAGAAAATGTGAATTAGTTCAAGTAGAAGGCTAAAAAAAAGTCGTTCCAAATAAACAGGGTTGGAAGTAATGAGAAAAGATTCGAGGATTTATGACCCCACAGAAAGTATGACTCTTAATAAAGCAACATAATTCGTATAGTTGATTCCAATTAATTGAAAAAAAGCTTTGACGATGACAATGATTATGATGATCCTTCGATAGGAGCCATGTTAATCTTATCTACATTTACATCCATCGCTTCGTTTATTTCCTTCAAGAAAAGAGGTCGTTTGGTTCATTGAAAACTCTCTTTGATGAGGGAGATTTATGAGAAATCGGTTTCACACCTCCATGAGTGTGAAGCCTTTGACAAAGATCGTTTTGTATAGCGGTGTGTCCTAAAAGATCTTCCACGAAACAAACATGGAAAATTAGTGTTGTCAACCAAACTCTCTTTCCCGGAGTGAGAGATTTCTAACGAACCAAACATGCCCAAAAAATAAAGACTCCACATCACATCCATCCGGTTTCTCAAAAGCCGTGCCTGCAGACGGCCATCCCTATGTGTCTGTGACATTCGATAGAAAATTGGCCCGAAGCCCATGGGCCTGTAGCTCATGGGAGGCACCTTTGTCATTTTAAAATTTAAATACGGGTGTGGTTTGAATAGAGCTTAGGCTCTAAACAATAAAATTAGAACCTACTTTCAAATAGTATCAAGAAATGTGGTTTCAATGCTAAAAAAATCTTTGTAATAATTTTAAAATATATTTTCATATTTATTTATAAAGTTTAAAGTTTCAAAAATAGTGTAGATCGACAGATCTATGAAAACTTGAAAATCTTGAAAATTGACAGTCCAAAAATACATTATAAAATACACAATTTCCATAACTTGAAATCCATTTTTTTTCATATCTATGCATCTTGATGCCGAGACAATTTGAAGATATTTGGGCATCAAAACAACCTCTTTTAGTAAAACTTTTGAAGTAGGTTCAAATTTGATTGTTTAGAGCTTCGGCTCTATATAAACTTTCCCCTTTAAATACACATGATTCGTGTATTTTTGTTAAAAACATTCGGGTGAAAAATACACGTATGGAATGAAAGAAGATATGATATTAAAGAATGGTCCATATTTTGGGACATTTTACCTCGGGGTTTTAAGTTGAGGTTCATTGTATTCATATTTTGTCCTTGGTTCAAAATTTGAAAATTTTAATTAATTTTTTATTCACATAAAAAACGGATTCGAAGGCACAACCTTTGAACTGATATTCTATATAAAATGGATGGTTCGAAAGTCACACTTGAAGACTACCAACCGATCGGTTTGGAAGCATAACTTGCATTCCTCACAACTCAATAGTGGGTGCAAGCGGCTTGAAAGTCTCTTGAACAACTTATTGATTTACAAAAATAAAAATAAAAATAAAAATAAAAATAAAAAATTCGTGTAATGCAACATTCGAATCGCTAAAAATGCAAAAGAAAACCTAAGTGAGGTTTTACCCAAGGGAGTAAATGGTGAGAGTAAAATATTTTTTGGGCGTAATTTCTTTTTCTTTTGAAAATTAACTCTGGCCCATCCTCTAATATTTTCACCATTCTAAAAAGGAAAAATATTTGATAGGTTACATGAAACAATTTATAGGGCCGCGTCCCTTAATGCATCATCATTCATCTTTAATATTTTCAACAAAAACTAAAATGAACATTGAAATAAAGAATATTAAAAAAAAAAGAACTATTTTTAAAATTAAAAATTTATTACTCTCATCACATCCTTGACGAGAAACTGGAATTATCAATCTTTGAAATTTTGGATCCAAAATCCATCTCAAAGATAAAATTCCGGCTGGGACAAAACACGGAGGAAAAACTTTATATAAAGGCGAGGCCGTAAATAATCAAATTAATAAGGTGCACATCAAAAATTTACTAGAAGAGATTGTTTTGATGTCCAAAAATCCTCAAATCGATGATATCTACCTTACGATGTATGGACAAAAGGAAAATAGATTTCAAGCTTTGAAAAAGCGTGCATCTTGAAATGTTTTTTCTAAATCGTCAATGGAAAGATTTCCAAGCGTTTATAGATATGCTTGATCTAAATTGTTTTTCAACATTTAAATTTTATAATTAAAGATAATAATAAATATTCAGGCCGATTTTTACTACTAAAACAACATTTTTTTATAGATGCGCTTTACTTTTGATCGTTTAAAAAAAATAAAAATAAATAAATAAAAAAAAAAAAGAAAAGAAAAGAAAAGAAAAGAAAAGAAAAGAAAGATGAGTGAGCTGACTCAGCAAAACGGGCTTCTTTTAAGTGGTCGGTGCGTGTCTCCGTCATTAGCCGTTATAAGTTAAGCAGAGAAGGGTACTTTAGCTATTTTATAAATTTTCAGGTACATTGTAGTATTTTTTCTGAGCCACAGAGGAGGTGCAAGAATGAAGAAAAGTGAGGTCCACGAGAGACAATAGCCCTGTGGAGAACATGATGATGGCCCCCCCACATTACTACAAACACTCACCTTTCCTCTTTTAGAGAGAGAAAGAGAGACTCTTTTAGAGAGAGATGCGGTGTTTGGCACCGAGCCCATCTGTTTACACCTTGGAAACACTCTTGTTTCCACTCCCCTGCATCTTTTCAACATATGCATCTTGGCAAGTGACATGTCCAAAAGTTTCATGATTCTCTCTACATCATTCTCAGTCAAGTATTGCCGGTTTCCTGCATGCTTTTCTTTGGTGTGGAAGGTGGGGCTCTTCTCACCGGTGCTTCTCGACAATTTGATCACCTCTACGTCTCCGTCATCTTATCATGAATTCTGTTTTTGATCTTGAGTAATGCTCCAATTTGGGTTCTTACAGCTAGTCATGGCAGATTAAATTAAGAAATCTGGGTATTTTTCTTGCATATGATTGTGTTTTTTTGAGCTTCTATTTCCAGTTCTTGATCAGAAAAAAGGGAGATGGCATCTTCAAGAAGAGAAATGCTACCTCCTCGCGCTTCAAGAAGAGACCCGTATGATGTGCTAAGTGTTTCTAGAGATTCATCTGACCAGGAGATAAAAATGGCATACAGGAAACTTGCTCTCAAGTGAGTTACATAGACTGCTCTTTGCTTTATATTTTCTTTATAGATATAAATTGTTTTAGATGAAATTCATTCACTTATGAATAATAAAAATGGCTTTCATTATGCTTTCAATAAAAAAAAATTTTTTTCCTGAGAAAATTCACTTGCTAAAATCATGTCTTTTTATGCATTCCACTCTGCCCTGACATTTGTATGGTTATTAAATTGCCAGTTAAATTTAGCCTCTGGTGCAAAATAGGTGGAGTTAGTTATTACAATGTAAAAGAGGGAGTCAGTTATTATAACGTAAAAGACGAATACCATTTGGCTACATTTGACTTTTCGTATATAGTTTTATTTATGGAAAAAGTTTACATAACGTTTCACTTTAAAATATAGAATTAAGGTACACCTCCGAAATCTTCCGAAAAAAGTTGTTTTAATGTTTAAAAACAACGAATTAATTATCTAGATATTGAGATTTATACATAGGAAGAGAAAATAAGATTTCAAGTACTAAACATAGTAAATGTTGTTACATATTATCTAGATTGTCTATTTTCAAGATTTTGATGCGTTTATAAATCTACTTGATTTGAAATATTTTTGGAGTTTAAAATTATTTAATTACAGATAAAATAGATTGCCAAACTCACCAAAATTGCATCTAATAAAAAATGCATTTTACTTTGATTGTTTAAAGTTACGACTTTATCAAACCACCCCCTTGCATTATTTAGGGTTAACTAATTGGATTTCCAAGTGTTTAATATACATAAGACTACGTATACTACACTCTAACAACGTAAATCTTACCATCCAAAATATGAGACATGGTTCAAACTTAGAACCGTACTTTTTTCAGGTAGGTTGAAGAGGTTACATCTCCAAAAAAATTGTGAACATAAAACATAATGTTTTGATATTGACCTAGGCCCTGGATTAAGCCCTAGCTTGAGCCCCTGATTATATTTTATATATAAGTCATGATTTTAGAAAAAACCTACAAAAATTGTTAACAATTTAAGAATGGGATTGTATACAATGAGACCATTTATTTTTTATACAAGGAGATCAAATACTTAAAACCAATAGATGTGAAATCTGATAGCTTGGATGTATCATAAAGTTCGACAAAATTTCTTTTGAACATTGACTTTGGTTATTGCAATAAATGTTGCCACCCAATTTCACTTCCAATAGTCAAGATTAATTGTGACTACCTTGTATCAAAGATAAGTGGTATCATTGTATACATTTTTTTTAAGAATATTAAAAACCAAACAAAACAATAAAGAACACTAGAAATCTAAAAGCAATGAAAATTATAAAAGATGGAATTCAGAAAAATTATCTGTAGATGAAAATAATTCAGAAAATTCCAAGAAAGGGGAAATATAAAAAGAAAATTTTTCTGTTTTTAATCACCATCTTTTTGCCCTAAACCCATGCTTTTAGATTGAGTTTTATGGCCAATGTTTCATAACCTGGATTGGTGAAGCAATCATCCATTTGTGTCAAATCACTGGATTGATGGTCTAGATCAGTTTGAATGGGTGATCAAAAAAATATTTAAATTAAAAATAAAAATAAAATTAAAATAATACTTTATGGAGTAGGGATTTATGGGAATAAAAAAAACATAAGATAAGCTCAAAAAAAAAAAAAATTGAAAAAAGAGGTTTTAGATATGCATATACAGTAGGGACTGATACCTTCTCGGAAGAGTTAAGTCCCAGCTGAATCCCGGTCTAGATTGGCGATAACTGATTGCCGGGTTTTAAGAGACAGGTTTTACCCTAAGGGGTAAATAAAATGCTCCAGCGGGGCACATAATACTTGCATTGTACTCTCACATTGTTCATCAATCAGAATCATATGCTGAAGATTCGCCGAAGGAACTAAGATTGGAGTAGGAGACATGAGGTGCATGAGTTGAAAATTTTCGACCTTTATTTAGTTTTATAAAATTATTAAAAAGAAAATAAAATAAGAAAAAATGTGGATGGCTTTAGAAAAGAGAGAAAATAAGAAACCGCATGAATGAAGGAGAAGAGAGAGAATACAATAAGAAAAACTATGGATGTTTTTTTTTTTTTGAGAATGTAATAATCTATGGATGTTTTAAAAAGAACAAGAAAAAAGAAAATTCTAGGAGGGAGCGACAGGGAGAGTATAAAAAAAAAAAAGCTAGGAACTGACTTTAAGAAAGAAAAAGAAAAAAAAGAATTTGTATAAATTGGGAGTGAGAGAGTTGAATGAAAAGGAAAAGGTCAGGGGATAGAAGCAAGAAGGATGTAATGAAGAGGAGAAGAGAATCTGTTTATGAAGAGTTAGCTCTCTATGTTGGAGGAAAGAGAAGAAGCAAAGCTCTAAAGATTGCAAAGAAATTTGCTCATTCTTTTGTGAAAACCTTCTCTTCAAAAAAGATACCATTCCATTTTTGCTTACTTGACACAATGTACTTTCTTGGCTGATACCTTAAAGTTTAAGAGTTTCGTGATTGATGGGGTCCAATATTTTCCTATGTGACTTGTTGAAGTGGGGGATTAAGAAATTGATACATTACATATTGTCTTCAATTTTGCAAGTAGTTCATTCCTTGGGTTTTATTGTTATAGTTAAAACTGAGTTTTGAATCTATGGTTTGAATAATTTGAATTCTTAACAGATACCACCCTGACAAAAATGCAAGCAACCCTGAAGCTTCAGAGCTTTTCAAGGAGGTGGCATTTTCATATAACATTCTGTCTGATCCAGAGAGGAGGAGGCAATATGACAGTGGTGGATATCAGGTAATTTATGCCTTTTTAATTTCTGAATTATTGCTACAAAAGAAAGAAAAAGAAAGAGAGAAAAAACTAGGCTTGTTCAGAAATTATGAGAATATAGGCATGTATTCAATGATTGGTTCGACATTTCCTTGGCTTGTTTAGAAGATTTGGAAACCATAGTTTGATAAGTAGATGCTTGTGCGTGGTTCATGGGAACATAATCATGCATATTAACTTTATATTGAATTGAAGCCTCACTCGAGCTTTTGACAGTGGTGACATATTCCATGGTTTTATTTTCTGTCCATTGAGCATTACTCACACTTCCTCTACAAGTTGTGTTTGTTATTTAACAACTATATCAGATAAATGAATTTCCTCTGAGATGAGAGTTTCTCTCGGCAGTAAAATGGAGCTTATTGAATTGTTACTTTTCTGGTTATGATAGTAGGACCGTTTAGTGTGCTGTTGGGGTTGAATAAAATCGTACTTAATTAGGTTTATCCTTGTCTTGATGGATCATATCCTTTTGCTTTCTTCCTTATAAAGGTTATGATCATGCACACTTGATGGTAGTACTCAAGAAGATTTGGAATTCCGTTGGATGGTAACCTGTGTTTGATTCAAATATCATGGTTCTTGTATATTTCATAGCATCCCCTGTATTTTATAGAAGCTCCAGCCATTTGCACACTTAGCACAACGAGTCACTTCTGCCCCAATCGCTCCCCTTGTAGAATTTTCAACATTTCTCTATGTTAGAATCAAAATTTCAGGTTGAGTTTTAGAATGTGGTTGTGCACAGTTAGTGGTTAGATTCAACTGGAACTCAATATTTTACTTTCAGATATTGTTGTCATGCGCACCATGATATATTTAGCAAAAGGATTTGAGGAAAATGCAGTTCTTCAACTATACTAGGCAACAAGACCAATATGTATTGTTCTATAATAAGAAAACATTAAATTACCTCTCAGGCAAAGCCAATGATAAAACAATTATTCCCAACAGTTATAAAGCGCTGGCAATTGTGAAGGGTGATTTTCGCAAACAACCATTGCGTGGTGCAGAGATTTACATATTATTTTATGATGAATATAAAAAATATGATGATGGATTAGTTTTCAAGTTATTAGTTTTGAAGAAACATCCACCCAATAAAGATTTTCGGAAGAAGGTATGGTTGATTTGTCAAAGAAGAACATTGGGTTTCTTGACTGTTATAGCATCACTAGCTAAGGATTTTAAATACCAGATCATAATTGCTATAATTTATTACAAGTCTATGCAGAAAGCTTTTCTCTATATCAGGAAGGGGAATTGAACTAGTTCATGGAGTCATTGCTGTGCACGGAAGCTCTATATCCCATCGGTTGATTTTTAGCAAATAAGTATAAAACACGTACCACAAGAGTACAAAGATTTACGTAATTCACCCCAGAAGGGCTGCATCCATGGGCACAATAAACTGAAATCCATTATTCCAATGAAAGTTACATCATAGATTTTGGGACATAGAGTTACCTCTCTAACCCTCGACAAAACCCAGTTCAACAAATCTTTTTAAGCTACTCTCCCGACCAACACCACATGTCTTTTTTCCTTCTCTGTACTTCTGGCAACCATTACTGATAACACCAGATAGAAATGAGAGAGCAACGAGAAGCTGACTTTCTCTCTAACTAAAATGGGAAACCATCTAAAATCTCTATGGGAACTTCTTCTCTACAAGAAATCAGCCTCTCAATCGGTAAGAGTCTCAATTCTCTATGGGAACTTCTTCTCTATAAGAAACCAGCCTCTCAATCTATATGAGTCTCAATCTACAAGAGGCACCATAATAGTGAAACTCTCTTCTATCCAAGGGAGACCTTGCATCTCATGCACAGGAGGCTCTGCCCCCCTCTCTCTAGAGGAAACCACCTTTCCTATATGGTGATCCAAATAGGGCCATCTTTCGTTCCATATATATAAGACTAGAAATCCACATTAAATAGAAAACTTCCTATAGATGTTACATATATCTCAAAAACTAAGAGATATATCAAAGTGTCCTAATCTTTTTGGATTTCTATTTCCTTTAGGAACCTTATCAATGTCAATTTCAATCCCAGATAATATGGGATTTCTTTATGTGGGTGATTTTGGATATCATCATAATCAACAGTCATCACTGTCATGGATGGTGATGGAGGGTGTGGAATCGACCAAAACAGGACATGGCCTTAAGAATGATTACGAGTCCTCTCCATCGCCACCATCATTTCAATGAACAATGATTACAATAATGAACTCTAAGTTTTGAATAACCCATTAGCTTATAATATACTTCCCCTTTCAAGAAATCTACACTTTCTAGCTGATCATGCATAAAGAGTGCAGTATTCTATGTTTACTCTCGTGTTACTTACACCTATTAATTTAATGTTGTACTCCTTGGATCCATATTAAAACCCCGTTTGTGATTTTATGAATGCAAAAATTTGTTGTTGTGGTGACACAGGCACTTGAAGCTGATGGCCTGGATATGGAGATTGATTTGTCCAACTTGGGAACTATGAATACGATGTTCGCTGCATTGTTCAGGTGAAAATCTTCGTTCCTATGAAGATTACATGGGGTTTATATGAGATCTTATATTCAAATTTATGCACTTCTTACTTTACAGCAAGCTTGGTGTTCCCATCAAGACAACAATATCAGCTACCATTCTTGAGGAAGCTCTAAATGGAACTGTAAACATTAGACCGCTTCCTCTTGGAAGTTCTTTTAGCGGGAAGGTGGATAAACATTTCGAGGCTTTGAAATGATTTATTTTTTTATTTTTTTATGATGAAATCCTAACATTCTCGTTATTCTTTTGATACAGGTTGAGAAGCAGTCTGCTCAATTTTTTAGTGTCACCATCAATGATCAGCAAGCAGAAGCAGGAATTGTAGTGAGAGTCACTTCAGCTACACAAAGCAAATTCAAGGTGAAATACCAATCTGGAAAATTTTCTTTTTTCCTATTTCTACCTTGGAATTTTCCCGTTCTGGTCTAAAATGAATTACCACTGGGGAGACTTGTCTGCAAGGTTCTTATTCAATTGGTTAGCGGTTTTTGCCCTTAGATAGATCTACATTATTTATGTATGGTCTTCTCTTTGCAGCTGCTTTACTTTGAGAGGGAAGCCAATGGGGGCTATGGCCTGGCATTACAGGTCTGTATGTAAAGTCTACTGAGTTCTTATTTTCTTAGGGAAATGCCAGCATGCTTCTCCCTGTGCAACAATCCTGGTGCTCTGCCACCTCAAAAATCACTTTTGAGGCGTGGGAGAGACCTAAAAATTTTCAAATTATTATTTCACACCCCAAAAACATTTTCAAGAAAGAAAGTTGGAGCCACAAATACTCAAATTTACTGTGATTCTAAATATCATCGTGATCATCCATTTCAATGGACAACAAATCGAGGAGATTTGGAGGCTGCAAAAAAACCAAACTTAGAATCAGCTGATCTTAAAGGAGTTTCAAATCTTTGGGTGTCCCCACACCTCACTAATTCTTTTTGAGGTTGGCAAAGCACCAAGTTTGGTTCCCTGGACAGAGCACTCCATTTCACCATTCTTAAATCTATTCTAAAGCAAGAAGTATTTGTTTTAAACATGCCTACCCATGTCAAGCTATCCAAGCTTATACTTGGTTTCCATTTGTTGTTATAGTAATGAGTCTTCTTGTTTAGAGGCATGTTAGAGGAAAGGAAAATATTCTTTGGCAGACAGTGAGGTAATGTGATACCATATATACATCACATCGATTGTGAGAGTTTGTTATTTGTATAGGAAGACAGTGAGAAGACTGGTAGAGTGACATCTGCTGGGATGTACTTTCTACATTTTCAAGTGTATCGGCTCGATTCAACTGTGAATGCGGTATAACTTACACATTAATATCTTCCTCTATAATAGGTGACTGTTCTCGAAAAGATATCTTTTTTCTTTGGCAGCTAATGCTACATAAAACTTTTCATGAAATTTTTGTTCAGCTAGCAATGGCCAAGGATCCTGATGCTGCATCCTTCAAAAGATTAGAAGGTCTCAAACCATGTGAAATATCTGAACTTAAAGCTGGAACCCATATATTTGCTGTTTATGGTATGTAACCATCTGCTTTATTATTATTTTTATAATCAGTTCAATTCAAACATTTTGTATGCGAGTCCCTTGATCATCTTCTCCATTCGTCTTCCCCTTAGGCGATAACTTCTTCAAAAGTGGGACATATACAATTGAAGCTCTATGTGCCAAGGCTTTCAAGGAGACCACAGAGAAGCTCAAGGATGTTGAAGCTAAGATTTTGACGAAGCGCAATGAGTTGCGCGAGTTTGAGTGCGAGTATCGCAAGGTTCTCTCTCTCTCTCT